TCACAGCTCACAGCAACCTCAAACTCTTGGGCTTAAGCAATTCTCTTGCCTCAGCCGCCCACGTAGCTGGGACTATAGGCACCTGCCACAATGCCTGGCTATATTTTTGTTGTAGTTGTCATTGTTGTTTAGCAAGCCCTGGCTGGGTTCAAACTCACCAACCCTGGTGTAAACGGCCAGCGCCATAACCACTGAGCTATGGGCGCCAAGCGTCTCTAAGCTCTTCTTATGTCTCTTTCCCAAAGCCAGTACTCCCTTAGAGCCCCTTCCCTCCTTAATTAGAGCAGCAGGTGGTCCCTGCCCTCTGCTGCCTTTGCATCTCTGGAGAGTGTGAGGGGGCATACTGATGAGGGGGGTGCCACTAGAAGGGAGTAAGTCGTTCATCATGAGCAGGAAGACGTTGTAGCCCAGCAGAAGGGTGATCTTGAACGGGGCCCGGCTCTCGCTCTCTGCCGGCAGGTAGAAACTGAGGGCATCGATGGCAACCAGAAAGCCACTGGGCACCAGGAGGTTTATGATATAGAGGCTGGGCCTACGCCTGATGGCCACCTGGAGAGAGAGTGGAGAAGGTGGCAAATAAACTGATGCCACATAGATATTTGACTATCTAATCCTTGCTCATGTGTTGTTAGGTTGGCTGTGGGATCATCTTATTAGGTAACGTGTACATTTAATTGCACTCATCCACATAAGGGCCTCTGACTTGTCTATAATTATTTATTTTCATCCTGCTCAAGACACAATGATTGTAGAATTTTAGGGGCAAATTGGGCCGTTGGGGCATCCGCTAGCTGGTGCTCCATTCCCAGCAGCAGTACTGGCAACAGCCTAGCAGGGGAGTGACTGCCAGCAGGGGAGGCCCTGGGGATCCTGCTTCAGGGCAGTCAGGTGGGGGAGCAGGTGCTTAACTCTCTTGAGCTTTTTTTTAACACCCCAAAGAGCCTTAGATCAAGAGGAGAACAGAACAACTGGGATCAGAAATTAGACAGGGCCCCAGGACTCACGAAGAACGTGATTTGGTCATAAAGGTTGCCTCCCACAGACATCTTTGGGGTAGCCTTGTTGATGCCCAAGAGCTCCCACTCTCCCTGGGTGCGGATGACATTACGGGATGTGTCTGTCATCTCCCTCACTTCCTTGTCCGTGCCTAGTAGCATGCTGTCCACTGTAAGACAGGCCAGCCAGCTCAGTCAGGAAGTGTTCCCAGACATCCTGCCCACAAAATTTGATTCCTCCTCCACTGAGCTTCTTTTATTTTATTTATTTATTTTTTTTGAGACAGAGTCTCACTTTGTCACCCTTGGTAGAGTTCCGTAGTGTCATAGCTCACAGCAACCTCAAACTCCTGGGCTTAAGCGATTCTCTTGCCTCAGGCTCCCAAGTAGCTGGGACTACAGGTACCTGACTCAATGCCCAGCTATTTTTAAAGATGAGGTCTTGCTGTGGCTCAGGCTGGTCTTGAACTCATGAGCTCAGGCAATCCACTCACCTCAGCCTCCCAAGTGTTAGAAAGCATGAACCACCGTGCCCGGTCCCCATTGAGCTTCTTAAACAAATGTTTCTCTGTCCTTTTATTTATTTATTTATTTATTTTTGAGACAGAGCCTTAAGCTGTCCCCCTGGGTAGAGTGCCATGGCTTCACTGCTCACAGCAACCTCCAACTCCTGGGCTCAAGCGAGTCTCCTGTCCCAGCTTCCCAAGTAGCTGGGACCACAGGCGCCCGCCACAACGCCTGACTGCTTTTTGGTTGCAGCCATTATTGTTGTTTGGCGGGTCCGGGCTGGATTCGGACCCGCCACCTTAGGTGTATGTGGCTGGCACCTTAGCTGCTTGAGCCACAGGCGCCAAGCCTCTCTGTCCTTTTAAAGCAGAACATTCTGCTTTCCTCAGAAGTGGATTACAAGACTGCAATTCACATGAATGTGGGCTGCAGCATTGATTGTTATTGAAGACAAGAGTGAATCAAGGTTGTTATGGGAATACTGAACATGACTCAAATGTGAGTCAAGAAATTTTGGAGTCCTTCCTATTTTCTTTCTCAATCCCCCAGTTGTATGATGCTGTTTCTGTGGAATCAAGCTTGAATTAGCTCAATATTTTTATAATTACATGCATGCCCATTATGATGTTTAATTTATCCAGATTTGCCACGTGACACCTGGTGGCATTTAGTTACATTCATTTACTGGCTTCAGTGTGTTAGCTATTAAAGTTAAAAGATTTGAGCTAAAAATTATAGGCATGCAGCAGTTCAGAGTCAGATGGACCCCATTCGGCACAATGGCCGTCTAAGACGTAAAGCAAGAGTTCTTAACCTCATCTGCACGATAGCATCACCTGGGGTTCACCTGGAACAAGGAAGCTGGAATCTCAGGGGTGATACACAGTTATTGGGTTTTTTTAAAAAAGCTTTAGTGGGCAGCCAGAGTTAGAACCACTGATCTAAAACCTTCCCTACCTACACCACTTAGCTATCTCCCCCCAAATAGCTGCTGAATCGCTTAAGCCCAGGAGTTTGAGGTTGCTGTGAGCTATGACACCACGGCACTCTCATGTCAGTCATGTCACACTTACCTGAGTAGAGGAAAGAACTGAAGGTGAAGGTACAGTTCTGTTGGTCAAAAGGGAAGTAGAAGATGTCCAGGTTACAGATGCTGGTCACCCTCATTGGCTTATCGTACCTTATTCGACCTTCACTGTTGACATAGGCAGTGAGACCTGAAGGTGTCTGATCCACATCCATGCTGTTGGAGGGGTGGGGGAGGTAGAGCCTAAATCAGTTTGGTCTCCCCTCCCTTCTCAGGCCTTCCCCTACTGGGTTCTCCTCTCGGGCTCTTTCTCTGATGTCTGTCTAGCTTGTCTCTTCCTCTCCTCATAGCGTTTTGTGGAAGTCAGTCCATTGAGATTGTGCCCCTGTCTGCATCTTTTGGCGGCCCCATGCCCTGCATTAACCCTAAGCTGTTCTTTGCAGATGGGGCTTCCCACTGGCTTTCCCCAGCTCAGATACGCACGATTCCACGATGAAGATGTCTGGGAGCCACAGGTTTTCAGCTGATACTGTGAGTTTATTGAGGCCAACACACTCTTCTGGGTTCCAGCTGATAAAAGGATTGTCCCATATCTGTGGCCAGGGCAATGAGGGATGAATGAGAGAGACGGTGACCTAGCCCCATCTGCCTCTCCTGCCTTTTCTATTCTTCTTTAAACTCTGATCCTCCCACTTGCACTTGTGACTCTAAGGACCACAGACTATCTCCCCTTTAATTAACAAGGTTCATCAGCAAAGAACCTCTTAAAAACCTTTTTGCCAGGAATAACCATGATTCAGCCTGAAACCCCTTGAAGCCAGGAACATACCAATTATAGGCCTGCAACCACTTGGTTATTTGGGGAGGGGTTACCATTTCTACCTTCCAAAGCTGCCTAGGGAAGTTTTTGTCCCCAGGGCCGGTATAATTCTAGATGGAGTTATTTGTCCCAGAAAGATTTATACTTTGTGAAGAAGAGATTTGGAGTAGAAACCTTTAAGTCCCTCCTAACTCATCAAATTTAAAATTAGCAACGGAAGTGGGAGAAGGCAGTTAGTTGACCCTGCCTTACCAAATTCATCCACAGGAATGACGTCAGCAGCTGGAGTTGTGCGTCCTGATAAGGAAATTCCCATCCAGGATTATTAGTGCGAGAAGATTTGGCCCACACCCACCTCATACTCTCCCCAGTGTTTACTAATTTCTTGGTCTAGGTAAAATTCGAGCTGCTGGACTCATTTCCTTATGTGTTTTCCCCGTGTATAGGGACACATCTGATTTTAAGTGCTGTTAAAAGCATTCCAGAGCGAACAGGACTCAGGATGTATGTGACCTACAAAAATTTCACTGCAGTGTTCTTTTTCATGTCTCTCTCCCTCATAGGAAAACCATCTCATTTGTACAAAATCCAGCTAGGGTACTTATTGTTCACTATAACCAGGGAAATGTTGGGTTCACAGGGCAGAGGATACTTGTTCCATGTATCCTCTGGGGGAAGAATGCAGGACCAGGTCTCACCACTTCCAGGATGGCAGACAGGGTGAAGGAGATGTTGACGTGAGTGGGCACGCTGTAGTTGATGACTGGACGGAAGGCCTTTCTGTCAAACACTGCTTGGAAGGCAGCGGGGTCCACCCCATGCTGGTTAAAGCCTGAGCAATTGATGGTGAAAGTATCACCTCTTCCTGTAGAGAGCAGAAACCCTATGAGAGAGGGTCTCCATTTCTAGGGCTGGACCCCCCTATAGATAGGGGGCATACTGGGAAGAGCAGGTGATCCCTCCTTCCCAGGCCAAGATTCCCCAAGGCCAATTTGGGGGAGGATGACTTGGACTGGTAGGCAAATGGTGGAAGTTGATGTGGTAAGCTGGGCTGGCACTCTATTCTCATTCCCATTGTTTCGTTCTTATGCAAAATCTGCCCAAATCTATATGCAAACTTGGCCTTAGTGCAATGACAACCACTTCAAGGAGTCCTTTGATGTACCCATCACAACCTTCTTGGTTCCACCTAGCAGGAGCACTGCTTGGCACTGCCCTCAAACCTGTATCTGGCCACAATCTGCTCTCATGTGCTGTGTATTTCTCTTCTTAACTCTTAGGAACTTCTACCTGCTTAAGGGAAGAACTGATTTATCAAGAGGGTGAGAGAAGTAAACAGGGGCACATAGTAGGGAGATATGGGAAACACAGAGTAGGTATTCTGAATGGGTGCTTACCTTGGTGCTATGCATTTATTTTATTCTTCTTGATTTAGTGACCTCAGACATCCTGTTGGTTATTTCCAGCATGGGGATCATTAGGTGACACACCGAGCATTCAGCATGTGCCCAGTCACAAGTGAGGCCTGTGACTGTCCCTTGGCCACAGCCAGGGAGCCATCTGGGTAGTACCTGAGCAGAATCTTTACCACACTGCCATGTTTATTTGGGCTTTTTCTTTGCTTCCTTCTTTATATCTTCATCTCTCTTTGGTATATTTAAGGTGTGTACCCAGATTGGGGACAAATATTCCCTCATGGAAGCAAATACCTACTCTTTTCTGCCTCATCTCAATCCCTACCCTCCCTCATAGATTTCACAGCAAGAAAAAAAAGAGACGAGGCAAGGGAAAGGGGTGTGGCAGGAGGGGCATCAGAAGTCCATGGAAAGACGGAATTGGGAGGTGGGGAACTGGCGCGGTCTGGTAGATCTCTGCGCTGGCAGGAATAGAGAAAGGCTGTGTGTACTCATTGGTGAAGTGTCTTTCTATCTGCCACCAAACAGAAATCAAGAGATAGACATTCTAGAGAAACATTTAACAGGTTAATTCTAAATGCAGCGATTCTCAACCTGTGGGTCACGACCAATGAAAATACATCCTGCATATCAGATATTTACATTACAATTCATAACAGTAGCAAAATTACAGTTATGAAGTAGCAATGAAAATAATTTTATGGTGGGGGGTCACCACAACATGAGGAACTATATTAAAGGGTTGTGGCATTAGGAAGGCTGAGAACCACTGTAGCCAGAGGGAAGTTCTGGGTGTCCCTCAGAACCACATTCTGGTCTCCCCTGTTCTTATCCCATCTTACCTGGAAACAGAAGGCTGACAGTGAGGCAGAGGAGGACTCCCCCCCTTGCAGACCACCCCCCTTCCATTCTCCTTTCTGGATTCTTCACTAGGGACTCACCAGAAGCCCCCAAACACTTGAGCTTAAAGAAGCTTGGACCACACCTTGGTTCAGTTTTGAATACTCTCCTGTCAGGTGACCACTTCCTAATGAGGCTGTGGCCAGAGAGGTCACAGCAGAGTGTCCTGCTTTGCCCCTGGCCAGGTATGCCTTCCGGGCTCCAGGCAGGCAGGATGTCGGCCAAGATGAGGGCAGAAGCACCTACTTGGCAGCTGAGTGCTGAGATCAATAACAAAATAACCTGCCTTAATGATACGGAGTGGGCTGGGGCAACAGGGGATTGTGTTCTTCAAAACCAGGGAATCTGCAGATCTGGAAAGGTGGCAGTATTTAGTGATTTGGCTATGAATGTTAAAGTATCTTTCAGCATTTTTTGACACTGGGTATTATTCCAAATACCAAATTGTTAAGCTTGGTTCACACCCTTATTGTCTAGTGTCTGTGTTTTCCCAGTAGCCCCTAACTAGACTTCCTCTTTCCAGTCTCTCTGCCTTTCTGATTATTCTCCCCAAACCAATGTTCTCCATACATCTGTTTATGCTGTGCACTGATTACATAATAATAGAAGTCATAAAATTAAGATAGCAACACTTTGTGTTGTCACTTAGTGTTACACATTATCATAAATTAGTAATCTTGGCTAACTCAATATTCACATGTGTCAATATGTCTTATGTCACAACCCTATTAAAAAGCTATCACATCATCTCCCTGACATGCAAGAACAGGGTCCAGAACATGGCTCTTTATGCTGATATTGGGGGAAAACAATTCCCTGTCACCCGTGGCCAGGACGTGGGGCGTTATCAGGTGTCCTGGAGTCTGGAACACAAGAATGCCCACGCGAGTACATACGAAGTCAGATTCTTTGATGAGGAGTCCTACAGCCTCCTAAGGAAGGGTACCTGGAACGGACCATGGGTCTCCACTGAGGTGCTGGCCGCAGCAATTGGCCTTGTGATCTACTACCTAGCCTTCAGTGCAAAGAGTCACATCCAGGCCTGACAGCGTGTCCTCAGCCCTCCCTTGCTTCCTTTAATAAACAGTTGCTGGCTGTCAGGAGTACATTCAGGGAAAAAAAAAAAAAAGCTATCACATCAAATGAGTGAACTGGAGCAAATTTTTATCAAGTATCTTAGTTACATTTCCAGAAAGACTTGGAAATTTTTTCCTTGCTGCAACGGTGAAGGGTCAGACCTAGAATACAAAAGAAACTTTGTTCAGAAGGGAAGGTCATGACAGCTCTCGACAGAAAGTGCTGAGAAAGGCAGCAATGACTTAGCTGCCCAAAGTAGGAAAGTACAGGAGAGACGGCTGCTGTAGGGTCCGCTGGATGTTCGCCGTGTCTGCAGTTCTTCAAACCTGCCAGCTCTGCAAGTGATACCTCCCTCCTCTGGAAACATGGCCCGTCTGAAATGAGACAAAGAAGGAAGGAGGAGAGAAAAAGAGGAAGAAAGTTAGCTAGAAGTATGGGGTGAAAGGGGCAGGAAAGGGAAGAAGGGAGGGGCTCAAGGTTTAGGGCTCTCTTTTGTGACTTGAAAGGGTTCAGCTGGGAGGCACGTTGGCCTCTGGCAGTGTAGTCAGGAATCCTCAAACTACGGCTGGCTGGCCACATGTAGCCCGCCTAGGACATTTATCTGGCCCGCCAGGTGTTTTTGCCACCACTGCCTGTCCTGCTTAGCAGCTGACTCATCCTGGGGCCCGCAGTCCGGCTCTCCAACATTCTGAGGGACAGTGAACTGGCCCCCTGTTTAAAAAGTTTGAGGACCCCTGTAGGTACTAGCTAGCACAAGGAGGAAGCTATCGGGATGCAGCTGGGGCAACTGGGTGGGCTACAGATGGTTCTCCCAAGCTAGAAAGCCAGGTGGTACCTTTAAGGCAAGTGAAGTGTGATCAGGGACAGAGCTGGAAGGCCACACATGGGGAGGGCCCAGAAACTGGATGAAAGCAGAGATGGCAACAATCTTAGGACCTCTGGTTTTAGACTAGACTACAAGGCAGGGATTTGGGGGAATAGAACCTCTGGAAAACTGAGTGATTATTCAAGGTGATTCTCTACTTAAAGGAAGAAGAGTGGGGACTGAGTGGTAGAGATTGAGCACAAAATCTGTGCTTTAGATTGAACCCATCATGCCTTGGAGGACCAAGGCACCGCTGTGTCTGTATTTACGTGGACATTCCCCTGTGGTACTAGACTCCTAGACTGGCTGAGAGCAAAGGACTTTCAAGAGAGAAATGCTGGAGTTCCACAGGTAGGCAGACCCTGGATCTTCCAGGGTTCCAGTAGGCTTCCAGAACCTGAATCCGTGAAAGGATGGTTAACTTTAAGCCCTGTAGAAAGGCAGCTGAAGACATTCGATGTTTACCTTGATTTTTATCAAGGTTGGCTGAAAAGCTGGAGTGGATCTGGGTCTACCAGTTGGACTCTACAGCAGATTCGCCTGCCAGGAGATGGAGGCAATAGAGACAGGAGAGCTAAGGCAGCAAAGCAAGGACTCGCAGCTGCCTGAGGAGTCAGTTTCAATGCTGGAGTCTGAAAATCTCAGGTGTCATTGCAGCTGCTGGTGGTGACAGCAAAGGCACTTTACTGTATGTGATAAGCGTCTCACCTGCTTTATTTTATTTAATCCTCTCAACACTTCTACAATACATATATTGGGTAGGAGTAAGTAGAAAGAGGAAATGCAGCCAATTGAAATAGAAAGCCATTTGGTCTTGCATTTCCTTTTTATATTTTAGAAGGTAGGAAATTTGAGGAACATATAATTTTTTTTCATAAACCAAAAGAACACTCACAATCAGCCATTTAACAAAAACCCACCTAAAATGATGAATTAGAGACCATTTTCAAATAAAGCAATAAAAATGACAGTACTTAAGCTAGGTTGCAAGTCTAAGGTACATAGTAAACCACAAGAATCTCATAGTTTCTCAAAAGAAATAATTAATAGAGTGAAAAGACAACCTGTAGAATGGGAGAATATATTTACAAGCCATATATCTGATAAGGGATTAATATCCAAAATATGCAAGGAATTCCTACAACTCAATGGCAAAAAGAAAAGAAAAAGAATTAAAACTACAAGAAGATATTACCTCATGAACAAACAAAAAGATAATTTAACCAGGCATGGTGGCACATGTCTGTAGTCTCAGGTACTCCAGGGCTAAAGCAAGAGGATTGCTTGAGCCTAGAAGTTTGAAATTACAGTGAGCTATGATCATGCCACTGTACTCCACCCTGGGCAACATAGCAAGACTCTGTCTCTAAAAAAAAAAGAAGAAGAAGATAAAAGGAAAGGAAAGAAAAAAAGGTAAGTGTTGGTGAGGATGTGGAGAAATTGGAACCCTGTACGCTGTTGGTGGGAATGTAAAATGTGACAGCCTTTACAGTTACACCATACAGGAAAACACTATGGTGTTTCCTAAAAAAATTAAAATAGATCCAGCAACCCCATTTCTAAGTATATATCCAAAAGAATTAAAATCAGGATCTTAAAGAGATATATGCATGAACTCGCATGTTTATTGCATCATTTTATTTTTAGAGACAGAGTTTTGCTATGTTGTCCAGGCTGGACTTGAACCCCTGGGCTCAAGCAATCCTCCCACCTGTCTCCAAAGTAGCTGGGACTATAGACATGTACTATTGCACCTGGCTGTTACTGATTTAAAAAATTTTTTTTTTTTTAGAAATGGATTCTTGCTATGTTGCCCAGGATGGTCTCCAACTTCTGGCTTCAAGTGATTCTCCTGCCTCAGTCTCCTAAGTAGCTAGGATTATAGGCATGAGCCACCAAGCCTGGATCATTGCAGCATTTTCCATAATAGCCAAGAGAGAAAAACAACCTAATTATCTATCAAAGGAGAAATGGATAAAAAGGTAGTATACACATACATTCAGCCTTACAAAAAAAGAAACCCTGCTGTCTAGGACAATATGGATGAACGTGGAGGACACTACCCTAAGTGAAATAAGCCGGTCGCACAAGGACAAGCACTCCATGATTCCATTTATATTGGACATCTAAGGTAGTCAAACTCCAGCAACAGACAGGAGAGTGGTGATAGTCAGTTGCTTTGGGGAGGAGGAATCAAGGAGTTGCTTTTCAATGGGTATCGAGTTGCAGTTCTGGAGATCTGTTCTTCAACACTGTACCTATAGTTAGTATGTATTGTGTGCTTAAAATTTGGTTAAGAGGGTAGAGCTCTTGTTAAGTGTTCTTACCACAATAACATACAATTGGAAAAATAAGAGTGATGCAGTTTTTTTGTCGTGGACACCAGATTTCTTTCTATCTTCAGACTCCTTAGGGTGTGCAGGGCACTCACAGAATACCCTTAACTTTCCATATGGGCCAGCACTTTATCTCAGACAATAATTCAATAATTTGGAATGCTAGTCTAGGAGGCAGACTAAGACTAGCTTTCATTTGAAGTTCATCCCAGGACAGAATCTCTGTTACAATGGAATTTGGACAGTCTCTCCCGGGAGTGCCTGCTTCCTCCTATTCCAGTAGACTTTCAGAAAACAGGGGTCAGCCATGTTTAGGCAGAGCTTCAGGAGCTGACACCTCATTTTCTTTTTTTTTTTTTTATTTTGAGGCAGAGCCTCAAGCTGTCCCCCTGGGTAGAGTGCTGTGGCATCACAGCTCACAGCAACCTCCAACTCCTAGGCTCAAGCGAGTCTCCTGCCTCCACCTCCCAAGTAGCTGGGACCACAGGTGCCCGCCACAACGCCCGGCTGTTTTTTTGTTGCAGCACCATTGTTATTTGGCGGGCCCTGGCTGGATTCGAACCGCCACCTTAGGTGTATGTGGCTGGCGCCTTAGCCACTTGAGCCATAGGCACTGAGCCGACACCCCATTTTCTAAGGCCATTAGGGATACCTGTCTCCTACATTCTCTGGAATAGCCTGGGGAGGCTCTAAAACTCCCATTTTAACTCCTGGCCCATGTCTCTCCTACAGCAAGCTGTGGGCCTTTATGGTGGTTCA